GTGAGTAATATTTATATATTAAAAAAACAGAATTTGATAAATTATTTATTTCAGTCTCTGAAGGCATTACCATTGGTATAATATCTTTGGGGGACAACCTGTATACAATATTTATTTTACCAAAAATTACCTTTTGCAACTATGGTTAGGATAAAAGTATGGGATTAATTTATTAAAATTTATGTATATTTGTTTTTTCATATAAGATCGTTATTTAAGTTAAATAGGATGGTTTTAAGATATAAGACAAATAATAATTTCCAAAAATATGGTTTTCTTTGACTATTTAATCGTAATTCTCTATTTGGATATGTTTAGTTACTTATATATATATATCGTAAACCTTCAAAGTAAATTTTTTGCCCATAACATTTTACACATGGTCATATTACATTCGGCTCTGTCAAATATTATTGATCTGAATATAGCGCCAGTTTCTTAAAACAATTCTAAACACCTAGTAAGTAAATTGACCCTTTCACTACTGGAAAAACTGTGTATTGAAAAGTACTCTAGAGGAACTTTCTAATAACTATTTAAACATGCAGCAGGAAAAATCAATAAATTTATAGCCTCTTGTGTATTATCTTGATCATAGTCATTTTGAATTCTCAAGTCTACACCACCATAATACTTGTTATTCAGAAATGTTATTCATTTATTTATAGCCATCTCATTAATAACTATATTGCACACTTTAAGTTGTGTTGATATATTCTGCTTTACTTGTAAAGAAATTGTATTAAATGTTTCTTTAGTGAATTCAGGTTCCCCTTGAACAATAGAATACCTTTTTTTATAAATTGCAGGATGAGGAAGTACATTTTTTAAATATTTTTGTAACGTAGGTGTATGGTTTAGAAGAATACAATTTTGAGGTCAATACAAAGCTTTGAATTTCTGGAGAGTATTCAGCATTTTTATATTTAAATTCCCTGTTCAATGTTTCTTTTATTGATTCTGAAATATTATTCTTTAAAAAATAATATCAAAAATATTTTATTATAAATAGTTACATAAAGTGCTATCAATCATATTATAAATTTTATAATAATAGCAATAGCATTTTATAGTAGTAAATAAGTTATATACAATGTACAATATAAAATTTATATGCTTTGTGCAGGGTGATTCTTTTTTAAATGTACATGTTAGAATAGGTAAATTGGATTTTTTTTTCATGGTTTTAGATTCTGAATGTAGCAAAGAATGTTTTGGTTTTACTAATATGTTTACTTTAGTTTTTTATTTTTTTTTATCCTGTGTACAAATATACTACCATAAATCATGTTCAGATAGTACGCGCCACATCATTTCTAAAAGGAAATGTTTCCCAGATGGTATCTTTGGGAGGTAATTTTTTGATTTTCTAAACGCTTTTCATAATGTCTATGAAAAACCAGAATAAAATGTAAGGATAATGGAAGATTTACGAAAATAATGTTTTTATTATTTTTCAATTTCGTTATTTATTGTAATTCAGTTAAAAATGTTGGAAACTTGAAATTTGGACACAAATTATATTTAATCTAATTTTTCAATTTTTTTTTCAAACATATGTGTACTGCCGATTTAAGAAGGATGGTAAAGTCAGAATTGAGAGAACTGACTATGTTTCGAAATTATAACTTTTTGAAGTTCAGATATTATACAGATATTACATGTTTATGTTAATAACTCTACAGTGTGTACTTTACTATACGTTTGTTGTAGTCGAATGGTCATGAATACGAATAGTCATACTAGGAATCAAGGGTTCAACCTGTTCAAAAAGGGTTTGAAAAGAAATTTTTTTCGCTTTTATCTAAATAGAGCAAAAACAAATATATTTGAAGTGTACTTAGAAATCTGGCTATCACTCCTTCGGACGATTTTAATCAAAAAATACCCCTCGATTTGTTATGCAAACTTTTCTACCAGAAATCTTGCTCCCATTTATCAAGTGTAGCTTATTTTCTGAAAGGAAATTTTATCTCCGTTATTTAGAAAAGTTATTTTTATGATTTTTTAATCGATTTTCATAATAACTGGAAAAAACCGGGATAAAATGTCGGAAAAACGGAAAATTGACGAAATGTAGGTATTAGTAAAAAAATATTATAGTCTATTTTCTCTGTGTACAACTTTTCTAACAGCAATTTTTCTCAATTTTTACGATAGCACTTTTTTTGAAAGTAAATCTGACTAGGGAAGTACTTTAAAGAGGTCATTTATCGATTTTTCCAAGAGTTTTCTTAGCAAATGTGATAATCCGGAAAAACGCAAGAAAAACAGAAAATGTATAATTACTATTTAATTATTTTACCATAATATGACATATATATATATATATATTGTTGATAAAGGATCACTATCAACTGATAAATGTACCCCTCAAAAAAAAAATTGGCTATGGTACTAATAATGGTGCTAATAATAATATAAATTTAATTTAACTCACAAATAAAATTCACAAACATATTTTGAAGAGGGGGTCACATCCACCAACCGCCATCCTCTAGTATGGTCAATGTGTTTTATTAATTTTATTAATAACATTGTTTTCAAAATTAATTAAAAATAGTATAATGATTTATTTTATACCGCTTTAAATAATAATAAGTTCTAAGGTTAAAAGCTAAGTATTATAATTATAATTAAACTATATGATTTTATTAACAATATTATTTTCCAAACGGTTTAAAATAATTTAGTAAGATTTCAATTATATCGGTTTAATAATATTATGAGTAAATTAAAATTAAAATGTTATAATATGATTTTGAAAATAATATTATTTTTTTTATGAATTAATAATAAAATATTAATATTAATGAAAAAATTTCCATTATTGCAATTATATTGCAAATATAATGTAAATAAAATGAAATTATGTTATTTTAATAATAATATTTCAAATGTATTGAACTAATAATATTTTAATATTATTATAATTACTAATTTGTGATCTGGAAAGGGCAATAAATTACCTATCTATGATTCCTCTTTACTAACTAAATTTTAAAATGTTTTAACTCATAAAGGGTAAATCTAATATTAGTGTTATGCATATCAAAATGTCTAGAAAAATATTCAAATCTGAATTCAAAAGGGTAAGGGGTTCCTCTTTGAAAACCAAAAGTATACACTTATTTAAGGTACATGAAGTAGGGGAAAAAATTATAAATGGTTTTAAAATAAAGCTTAAACGATTTCATAATGATAAAAAAAATAGAAGTCAAATTCACTTAAAATTCTCTGAGATAATTGCTGGTTCATGAAAAAAGAAAAGTATAATTTTTGTATAAAACAATGTGAATTATTTTTCTATATATTCCTTATAAACCTTCAATTGGCAAAAACAGCTATAGTCGTTTTTCAATAATCTATTTTATTATATGAACAGTGTGTTTCTGATTACTTGTGTATAGCAGCATATTAGTAAAAACAATTGC